TAATGATATTATAATTACTTTATAAATTTTGATCAGTAAATATGAGATTAGTCTATATGGTTAAGAAGAACGTGATCTGTTTTAAGAGCTTTTATATAGGTATGGAAAATATTTTTCTTTAATCAAATATGAATGTAAATGTGAGAAAACTTAGCTTTCTTATCTAAGGCAAATTCAAGCGATATTTAAAAACTATGAAATTAACAATGATGACCTTTTTGATTGAATCAAAAATTGAAATGAATATAAACCTGAATAAGTACGCTTGGATGCGATTAAAATATTTCTAGGTGTTTGTCATCTATCAATCGCATAAATATGATGAACATGCACATGAACAATAGAACAAGCGAGTCATTATGAGAGCCAGTCATGGAATTTAATATACACTCGTTTCTTTTTCTTCTTCTTCTTCTCTTCCTTTATGACATGTCTCGCGATTCTTTTGCCTTTCTCTATTTTAAAATGTCAGATAGGTGTTTATTGTTCATGAGAAACATGTATAATAGTAGTTGCTATCGATTAGTGAGTATAATATAGTTGCCGGCAAAGAAGAAAAACAGACTTATTAAAAAGAAGAATTAAAAAAGCAACAGTTGCACCTGAATTCTTTGGAATGTAACTGGTAAATTAACTTGTGACGTATCTTGTTAAATAGTTGACATTAATGTGTATGTCTTTTTTCCTCTCATTCGCTACTTACATTTTTTTTTTTTTTTGGTAAGGTAAAACGAACGAACACTCTTAATTGAAGCAGACAAAAAAAGAAGGAAAGAAAAAGAAAAAAAAAACGAGAGATTTTTATTTATTCAACCAACAATTGGCGAACACATACTACTTCAATCTTGCTATGGGCTAACTTCAGTTGTTAACTTAAGCACCCTGAGGAAAGCAATGATTCTACCTAAGAGAAAGAACCACTGAAAGCATGATAGAGAAATGTGTCACATTCTGTGATAATGTCTTTTGGTTTCCTTTATTTGTTTATTGATTTTCTCACTAATGCTTTTCTCATTTCCAGATCAGCTGGTTACTCAGTATGAGTTCTATATTTCGTCGTTGGAAGAATCGTTTACGATGTTCAAATAAACGACATATGCCTCACAGTCGTTCATCTATCATTAATGATCCTGAAGTAAAAATAAAATTTTTTCTATTTTAAAAAAATTCTATTCTTTTGTTTCTATTCTAGTTGAAAACAGTAAATGTTACAATGGATAAATTAGTCAATGAAAATCGTATTTTAAAAGAACGATTCGATAAACTTGATGAACGCGTAAGTTGTTTTTATTATTGTTTGCTCTATTTATAAAACAAGATTTTTGTTTTGTTTTCTTTTTATATATAAAGTGTCAACGATGGATTGGTGACGAACAAACTTATTTATTAAAACGTATTGAACAATTAGAAAATGAAAATCGTCAATTACATGATAATCATAGAACTTATCAAATAAAAAGTGAAAAATGTATTGAATCTGTTACTGATCTAATTGTAAAAATACTCTTTACACAAGAGGTAAGTTATAAATAAACAAATAAAAAAAAAATTTTTTTTTCTTCCCTTGAGAAATTACTATTTTTTACTAAATAAGAAAAAAAATGAAATGAGTGTAAAATCGATTTTTTTATTAACATAAAAAAAAAGAGAAAAGCAATGATTGCAAATATAATTATATTAAATATAAGCACTGTTTATTGAAATATTGAAGGATAAAAAAAGGAATTAACTGTTTTGATTCTTCATTAAATAAATAAATCTGTTGTTTTTTTATATAAAATTAAAATACGAAATTTAAAGAAACCATCAATATTATGAAAAGCAAAAAAAATGTCTTGAGAAAGCGCATTATATAGGTTTGCATATTTTCATTAAAACTCGTTTTTTTCTTGTAATTATATATGCTTGACTTCAAACATATTTACCAAGGTCGTTCATAGAATCCTTTTTTATGTTTTTGTCTTAGATAAGATATGACATGTTGTTTTTCAAATCAATTTTTATTTGATTGATTCGTTTAAGAGTTCAATAAACCTTTAAAATTGACTAACTAATAGAAAAAAAACGTTCAACTTGAATTAATAGATTCTAAAAGAGTTTTAAGTTTTCGCGTCCTTCGTGTAACTGCACAAATCGACATTGGTTTGTTGCCTTTGTTCATGTTTATGTAAACGTAAGTGTTCTTCTGCTATTCTTTTATCCGAAAAGCATAAGAATAGAAGTGTGTTACGATTCTTATCAACAAAAAAAATCTTTTTTTTTGATTTAATTGACGTGTGCCTGTTAGTTCAGTATTAGATTAAACTATAACCAACTGTATGAGTATAAGTGTGCTCTCATCTTTCTCTCAAATATCTCCAACTGCTATCATTCGCTTTTCTTTCTTATAGATATATATATCTCTTTATATATATATATATATATTCTATTCCCTTCTCTGATTGCATTTTCTTTTCAAAACTATGACGATTGCGAAACATGTGCATGAAATGATGATGTACTATTTTGGCTTCTTGCCTTTTTTCTGATTGTCTTAAAAGAAAAAAATACTTTTGTGAGTTTGAATACCCATTGGTATAGTATATTGATGCATTAACCATCAATGTTTTTGTGTCTACTAAAATTACAGATGAATATATATGGCTGCTGGAAGAAAGCATAAATCACTTTTTTTTTTGTTCGTTTTTTTTGAAACAGTAAAAGTTTTAACAACATTTTGTTTGTTAAGAAGTAAATAAAGGCTCAAGTACCACTTTTTTTTTCTTTTTTTACTTTTAAATATTCTTTTAAAAACACAAAAAAAGCTTCGATGATTATCATAGATAAATAAGAGAAGTCACATAAAGAAAATGACGAGACGCAAAAGATGGTGGTTTCAAAATTTATTTGGCCAATGTATTCTTCCTTGTAATGATAATTCTTCATCTCAGGTGAACAATTCATAGTCTATAATTTCTAAGATTATTTTAGTAGAGTCTTTTTTTTTCTGTTTTTATTTATATTAATTGTTTTATTTATATTTGCAGGACTTGAGGAAACAATGTAGCGATATACATAATGTAATTGATACAGTTCAGTTGAGAAAGAAAGTGCAGCCAGTAAGAACAATATTTATTTTATATGAACCACATGTTGATTCCTTTTATTTATTTTCCTAATATAGAATGAATCAATTATTCAAAGTACACGTAGTATTTCATGTCAATTTACATCCAATCATACAGTATACATTACAATGGATCTATTTAAAAAATCTTATTTTATAATATTTAGAATCAAGTTCAACGACATACTACAAATGATCAATCTACATGGGTTCATCAACGACTTATGATTGTTGAAAAGAATGATGAGAAAACAACAAACCAACTATCGGGTATGCAATAACATCAGAAGATTATGATGTAATGTGTTAGTTGTATTTTTATCACACACGCATAGATACACAGTAATAATTAGATTCTATAGGAAGAAGGAGAAAAAAAAAGAGAAAATACGAGCGTGTTGAACGACAATAAGAAAAGAAGTGAAAAAGAAAGAGCAAGCCTCGATGATTTTCTATAAAGACTAGAAAGGAAGAAGCTGAATTATGCTACTAGGCATAAAAATGGACATGAATTAATGCCGCAAAAGAAAATAGGGAAAAAAACGAGACAGAAAGAAGAAAAAAGAAAGAAAAACGAGAGAAAAAAAGTGTACTCACACTAGTCGAATAGATATACATAGGGAAAAACGTTCAGACACACTTAAATAAGGTAAGAGAATAGTCTAGCATTTTTTTTATATTTTAATAAAACTAAATTGAAAAAAAATAACGTCTTTTACTTCGGTAAATATTAATAAAACAAAACCCTTATTATACTAATCTAGCGCAATGTTATTTAAATTTTACCATAAATAAATAAATAATGTTTTTAAAATTATTTTTTATTAAAAAAAAAACCTATCGGAAATTATTCTGTCTTATTTTGAAAAATTAGTTTACAATTCAATAAGAAACTCATCACCTATAATATATATTTCTTATTAAAAACTTACATATTAAATTGCCTCCGATAAAATATATTCGTCAGTATAATTACTCTAGAGAATAGAAAAAAAAATATAGAATTGAATATACATTCAACTTGTAAGAATTTTTATCCACCCAAATCGAATAATAAAATAAGTAATGTTATAACAAGTATTCATTAACCGTCTCGTTCATACATTTCAATTTGTTAGTACTACTGTCTCTATTCTCTTTTGAAAGTCATCACAATCACTATTCTTTACCTATTCGAAATAATAATACTAATAATATTGAATGAAATTTAATATGTACAAAAAAAGAAGGGTGATACCATATAAACGCACCCATTTTCATAGTTGTTGCGTATAGTATGTATGTCATTATAAGACATAACGACAATGTATAATGTCTCAGAATTGGGCGGTACTTGTTCGTATAACAAATGTTCGTAAGATCGAGCAAGTCAGTCGTGATTATGCATCAATAATGTATTGATAAAGTGCAGAAACGAAGAAAGAAGAAAGGAGACACTCATATACATCTACATATATGTACATGTGTATAGCTACTCGCATACAACGAAATTTAAGCTTTTATTCATTTTAATTAATAACCCCGACTGTCGGTTTGTTCTCTTAACATTATTGTCATAACGGTTAGAGAAAGAGAGGCTTTTTCTTCGTCGTTTTTTTTTTTGTGTATATTCTTTCTTATTGCCTCTGATGGTCATTATTCATATACACTGTTTATCTTTCGTGTTCACTGACTCCTTTCTTCTCTCCTACCGTCATCTGTTTGTCGCCCAACAAGAAAAAACAAAACATCTATTCGGGTCGTTGTCCGAAATGGGATAAATCAAGATTAAGATCAAGCGTATTATCTTCCTCATCATTCGTTCACAATCGGATTTCCTTTCACGTCAAAAAAGATTTTATGTCTATTGTGTGTATAAAATAACAAATATATACGAAAAAAGAAAAACGAAATCATGGTCTTAATAAATAATCATTTTAACGATATCGATTCAACACAATGTTATTATGGTGAATGTGACAGTTTACTAGTAAATTGTTGTAGTACAGCTCGTTTATCATCTCCTTTTAAATTTCGTACAATGAATAGACGACGCAGACAAATGGCTTTTGATATGCTGAGACAAATGAAAACGCAGCATCAAACAACAGGAGTTGCGTCTACAAGATCAAAAAGACATAGAAATAAAAAATGTTTTTATAGAGCACTTTGTTGTACTGGTAAGAAGATTAGTCTTTAGTTAAGATTTAAACATATTAAGACCTCGTTTTTTTTTTACATTTTTATTTATATATAAATATAGCAATAATAATAATTATCTTGTTTTTTTGTTTCTTTCATTGATAGAGCTACATATTAGTGAAAGTCAATCAAGTGTGTATTCTCCAGCTATGGCAACTAGTAAATATAAACCTCGTATATCATCAGCTGGTCTTACAAATGAACTTTATTTTACATCACATAAACCTGATGGTGATAATGAAAAAACACCACCAGTATTAATGCGTAATAAACGTCGATCTCCATATCCTAACAATACACCTATTGAAACTACACCAGTAGTATCAAGCACTCGTCGTCCAATATCATCTCCTGTTCGTTCTACAACATATGTTCTTCAACAACATCATAGAATCAATAATAATCAAAATAATAATAATATTTTAAATAAAAAACATTCTTCACCTATACTTCAACATTCTCAACAATCATCAGTAATATTAAATAAAAGTCGACAAACACCGCAACAACAACGTACATATTCTAATCATGAAAGGTTACAAACAAATGGAGATGCATCAACGACAAATCAACAATTTACTGCTCGTGCACATATTACATTAACACCGAGACGCCCATCACCTATAGTTAAAAATACACCGACAAAGACAACACCGTACATATCAAGGTCCCCTCGAGTAAGAGAACGAGGAAAAAATGAGAGAGAGAGAGAGAACCAAAAAAAAACAAATCCTCTCATAAATGTTAATAATTTATACTATTTTTGTCTTTCTATTTTTTTTTCTTTAAATCAGATTCCAAATGCTCCATCGGTTCGTCCTTCTCGTCCAATAGTGCCGGTATCAATCGTACCAAATCAACAACGTTCACCTCATGTTCAACTTCGTCCTCGAAATTTAACACCAACAACTCAACGAACAATTTCATCATCTCCAACAAGAATAACAACAACAACAACTACTAAATCAATTCGTCCTAATAACAAAACATCAAAATCACCTGAACAATTACGACCTGTGACAGGTACAATCACACGTCCTCGACCAGTGCATACTACTGTAAATAAATCGAAAACAAATATAACAAATTCAAATATCAAAAGTCGAATACCTGCTGTGGCTATTGTTCAACCGATAACATCACCATTATTAACTCCTCGTGTCTCTGATCTCGATGCATTAATGGCAGAAAAACATGTGAATACACCATCACCTAATCATATTGCATTAAAATCAACAACTATTACTCCATCACCAATTGGCAATAATATTCGACGTTCATTATTTTCAACAGATACTGTTAAAGTTGTACGACCAGTTCGTAGTCAAGAATTAAAAACATTTTCTTGTCATTTAACTACTCAACCATCGCCACCCGTATCGATATCAATCGTCTCTGATGATGTAGATCATTCAAATATTGATGAAACACTTTCAACATTAACACCAACATCATTGGAGCAAAAACCTATTGGTAACATTCATGACAAACAAAACATTGAAAAAAATGATGATTCCTCTTCGAATACGTCTGCAATGTTACGTGATCTTTCGGAAGATAGTCTTAATGAACATTATCATATTAGACAATTACTTAGAAGCAGTAAGTTATTATTTATCTTAAGATCATAGTCAAGTATATTTCTATGAATAACACTATTTTATGAGGGTTATTATTGATTTTTTCACCTATGAAAGAAAATCAATATTCTTAAAACAGATTATTTGTTCTAACTACATGCTTTATTTTATAGTCTCATATGATAAAAAAACGAATAATATTTCATTCAATAAGTCCTTTAATCTTTTTCATTGAAATATGTTGTAATTCGATATTTTTCAAGAGTAGAAGAATTATCTTTGCTCGCAATTTTCTATGAATTTTCGAAAAAATTAACATGAAATATTTTTCTTTAGATGTATCGATTACAGCAATGAAGCATGATAGTACACAAAATAGTTCTTCAAATGATGATATTCCAACATCATCGGGTGTAACATCATGGTCACGTATTCGATCATCATGTGAAAGTAATATATCTCATGTACCACCATTGAAAAGTGAAACATCACCAAGTCCAGCTTATTATAATGGTCCTATTCGACAAGAAAATATTCAAATGGCTAGTGATGGACGATATTTTCTCTTAATTGATGATAATATAAGTAGTGAAGAAAGTCATCTAAGTACAGCATCATCGGCATCGTTACCACTACCATCATCGCCATCATCATCATCATCATCTTCAGTACCATTACCTCAAGTGTCTTCACCATTAATAAAAACACCAGTGATACCAACAAGAGAACGAAAAGCTTTTATACATCGTTTGGTATTCCCGGAACGTCTTGGTCGTGTAATATTTTATCGTCGAATATTATCAGATTCTGATATTTATCAAAAACTTTGCTCGAAAGATAATGAGATAAACCACAATGTATATCATTTAGATACAATACGTGATTATGCAATGGAATTTTATATGTTAACAACATATGGTTCTGATTCACAATTACGTGCATGGTTTGATTGTAATTATGATAATACAGTGAATAATACATGTTATTTTGATGACAATCGACTTCAATCGCTCGATGACGATGACGACGACGACGATGATGATGATGATGACGACGAAGACTTACATAGACATCGAATGAAAGTTATTAGTAGTAGTGATAGTATGATACCTGAAGATGATTTAAATCGTTTACAAGCTGATGAAGAACTTGATTGGTATTCTGAACTTGAATCATTTAATTTATCACCAAATAATCAAGAAGTAGAATAAGAAAATTTTTTATTATTTATATCTACTATTTATAATTATATTTCTTTTTAGTGGAAACAAGGAAATCTATCAAGTAGTTCAAGTGAAGATCATGTCGAAGATTTATTACGTGTTGAACAGGTTCGATTTATTTTATTAATCTGTTAAATTATATATATATAAATGATTATTTTAGTTTTCTGTATCAAGTTTAACAACAAGTACATCAGCTGAATCATCAAGTTCAGCTGGTTTAATATCAGCTTCATGGCCATTAACAAATGGTATTCATTATTCAGCTCATAATACGAATCGTTCATCACAATCACTCGGTTCTCCTCCATTAACAAAACTCGATGATCAAAGTAATACAGTCTTAAACGATATTTTGACTTATCCATGGACAAATGAAATATCTGATTCCCATCCAAATTCTCATGAAATTGAACATGATCAAAATGGAAATGGTATATCATCATCATCAGTTGTTTCTGATGAATTTCAACCTGATTTTTATTATTTATGTCCACTTAAAAATACATTAAGTTTTCTTAAAACCGATGAAAAAACTAATGGTATTCATAAACAATTATCTCATGATGTTTAAAATAATATTCCTTTTTCTTCTCTTCTTTCATTTTTGTTTTAATTCATTTAAAAACTTTTTTTTCTGTTTTCAAAATTGCTGCTCAAGGCCAGATACTGTTATATATATATATTTTTTTTTGTTGTTCTTGTTTTCTTTCTTTTTTTGGTTATCACATTAGAGATACAATGAAAAAAAAAGGAAAAACAAAAGATATTATGCATGATTGCCAAGTAATTGAACAAGTAAATCTAAAAAAACAAAAAAATAATATGCGAACAAGAAAACTAAAATATAAATCTTACACTCGATATCGATTTTTTGATCATCATTCTGTAAACCTAATTCAATAAGATCATCCACTTCTTTTTCTGATAATGGTTCACCGAGTGTACTCATTACTGTACGAAAATGTTCAACATCAATATAACCTTCTTGTGTTTCATCAAATTTTTTTAATGCTCGATGAAGTGTATCATGATCATTATTAACTGTTGTCCACGGTTCATCAAGAATTGTTAAAACGTCTTCTAATGTTAATTCATATTTTCCTTTATAATAAATGTAAAAGAGCAAAAATGTAATATGTCATGCAATAACACTTTTTAAATTAAAAAAAATAAAATTTTCAACAACCGGAATAATATAGAAATGATGACAACTCTTTTTAATGGACTGTCTTATACCTTTTTAGATAAATTAAAATGCTATGCTTCTGGTTAAAGTTGCATAAGCAGTTAATAAAATGAAATTTTGTCTTATAATAATAATTAGTACTTTCTATGACAAAGATTTTCTTACCAACTAATTCGAGTTCATTGACTCTTTCTTGTGAATCTTTTAATGAAGGATTACGACCAAATGCTTGTAGAATCTCAGTTAAATGATTAACATTAATAGAATTAACATCTGGATCATCTTTAAATCTTGCAAAGATTTCATTAAAATCTTCTAGAAAATTACATTGATTAATTAATCATCTTTAGAAAACAATCTCATACGCATTTCTTGATAAAATTGTTCATTATCAACATCATCATGTAATCGTGATCTTCTCGTTTCTGCCTAAAATAATATTTCTTAACTAATCATGTTTTTGTATCTACTTACCATTTATTTTTATAAAAATAAATATATATATACTCTCTCCGTTGGTGGCAACTGTCAAGTAATTTATATACTTTTTGTTTCCGTCACTCTCTCTCTTAATACTTGTGAAGTAATATTACATTTAGAATTTATTTTTCTTTCACATTTTTTCAACTATAACAAAAAAAAATATTCTCGTTTCTTTTTCTTTCTCTCTCAAAGTTCAATTTTTTCATTGATTATTTTCTCTGGTATTGGTGTATTACAATTTCCATGATATATACTAATATTTTGTTCATTATTACAATTATAATAATTTTGCCAAACATCATCATAACCTTTGCCTTTCCACCATGTACATAATTGTCTATTCCAATAACATGGTAAAATAAAAAATATTTCATTATGTTCAAAACTTAATAATGTATAAAAATCTTGATCACCTAAATGTGGATGATTAAAATGGTATTTCGTAATAAGTTGTTCAATAAGAAATGAATGTTCTAAATAACTATTAAATAAAATTGATTGACGAATTTTATTTAAATCAAGTAATAAAACGCCACTATTAAAACCTGTTATACCAAATGGAGGAGGATTACCAATGTCTGTCGAAGGATTTTCATGACGATATGACCAAAGAAGATGACGATACACAGGTTGATTTTCACGAGCAATACCTAATATTTGATTTTCATTGAATTGATTAAAAAGTTTATATAATGCTCGTATATCATTATCAAATCGAATATCAATATCAAGCATAATAACACGAGAAATATTTTCCGGGAGTATTTGATGTAAAAATGGTGATAAAAAAAATAAAGGATCTTTATAATAAGTATGACTAGATGAAAAATGTTGAATTAATGGTGCGATTAATTGTTGATATTTTAATGTTAAATCATCAATATTCAATTGATTAATCTTAAAGAAAAACGAAATTCGATAGTTTGAATTATTTTTTGTTATTATTTAACTACTTGTTGATTATAATGAAGAGTTTGAAGAGTTTGATTTACAAAATGATGACTATCTAAGTCACCAATAACATGTAAATGAAGATTTTCTGTTGATGTATGTTGAAATAATGAAGTTATCATTGTAATAAAATTCATTTTTAAACGATCGTTTGTTGATAGATTTTTGACAGTAAAGACAATGTCGATGATTGATGATGATTGAATATAAAGAATGAATGAAAGAAAAAATATCTGTTTAAACATTATTAAGACAATCTAAAATAAGATTTTATTTTTGATATTGTTATGTATATATAAAACATACTTTCTTTCCGACAAAAAATGTTAAATTATTCTTTTATGAAGAGATTAAAATCTTATTCGTATTGTTTATTAACAATACGAACAAAAAACACTTTTTTTTCAGGGTAATGACTGTAATTATTTACATATAATCTTGTAAATATTGATTGTTATTCTTTGTCTACAGACATATTGATGATAATGGAAATCGAATCGATTTTTTTTGTTAATTGACAAATGATGAGAATACATTTTTATTTATCGATATTAAAATAAATAACATCTTTTTGTTCGTTAATGGATGAGATTTTAACAAGTAGAAATTCTTTTTACATCAATAACTCATTTATCCTTGGGAACGGACTATTAATTTTTACAATAATACATCAATTCTATAGGTAATTTAGCATTGAACTAATTTTCGAGTATATTACTTCTACATACATCGATAAATGTTTAATCTCTAATACTGGAATTGATTTTGAATTGTAACCATACCTATTCATAATATCGATTATTTCTAATGTTAAACTAAAGTTTTCAACTATTTCAGTATCAGTGTAAACATCACTGACGAGCCCAATTAAGTAAAATCTTTAGTCATTGATTTTATATATTTTCTAGTCGAATACTATTTCGATTTCTTGTCTGAAAATCGATATTGTCAAGAAATCTGGAAAAATTTTACCTGAAGTTTATTAATAATAGAAGACACAACAAGTAAAAGATGTGGACATATTAGAGAGAATCTGATAAGCTTATTTATTTGAAGCCATCAGCAGTAAGAGTCCATCGTGAAGTTTGGGGCGACCGATATCGTCGTTATAGTAGCGGGTGTTCAAGGTGTAGACTTGGTGTGGGTATGGACAGGCACGTCTACAGAAAAAATTTTTTTGGGGGAGGGGGATTGACGACTGTGCAGAAAAGTTTATCATGGAAAAAAGTTATTCCAAATTTCTGAAAAAATGCTCGACCCGTACTTCCCTCCAGGTATTTCAATCTTTTTGGAAGGTGATCGATCCCCAATCCACCCCCCTGCGGACGTCGTTGGGTATGGATGTGGATGGGTGAGAGTGAGTGTAGGTGTGGACGCATAGGTATAGACTACTTTTCTTCCACACCACAAAACCTTTCGAGTTGATGTGTTTCTTTTCCAAATTTTTATTTTCCGGATTACTTGACATATTCTAAAAATCTAATTTTACTACAGAATATAACTGTATTAAATGACTATCCATCATTTACTCTTTTTCTTTTATTAACATCCATATTAAAATGTCTCTTCTCGTTTATCATATATTGTAAAGACAAATAAATAATCAATCAGTCATGTTTTGTAGAATATTAAATTTAACGTTAATTACAGTTACAAAAATTAATAATTTTTAATCTTCTCGAATAAATCTATAACATTCATACAGTAAAAGAAAGAATAATAAAATCAACATCTTCATCACTCGGATCTGTAATATCACTTTCAAATTGACACTTTTTCATATAAAAATCATATGCTTTTGTATTAACTTTATGAACTGTTAATACAATTTTTGACATTTGTGTTTTTTGACAAAGTATTTTTAATTGTTCAATCATTGATTGTCCAAAACCTTGTCCTTGATATTTCATATTTACTTGTAATTCATATAAATATAAAACACGTTTACCAAAATCCATATCAAAACGGAAATGTGCAAAAGCTAATACAGAATTTGCCAATGAAATAATTAAATAACGTGATTGATTAGAAAATAATTCATCTCGTTTTTCATCATAATTATAACCAAATGCCGATTGTTCATATAACTGTTTCATATTTATTTCAAATAACTCTATAATTTGTTTTTGATATTCATTTGTTAATTGTGTAGCATGAAAAATTTCAACTTGATAATTATTTAGTTTATTAAGATTGAAATCACGAAGAAAATCATATAGATCAGAAGAAGAAAGTTTATTTGCTTGATCAATTAATTTTTGATTTTTTCTCATTTTTTTTTTTATTTTCTTGAAATAAAGAAAAAAAAGAAAATAAAAACAAAAAAAATATAAATATCCTAAAGTTTTTTTCTATTCTTTTAATTGGTTATTTTGAATTTAATCGAAACAACAAAACGCGATTTTAATTTTCATTACAAACAGTTACATTTTGCGCTGTTTCACCTTTTTCATTTGATACAATATTAAATTCAACTTGTTGTCCTTCTTCTAATTGCATTGTACCATCAGATAAATTTCGAATATGAACAAATACATCGGAGTCACCGTTATCACGTGTTATAAATCCGAAACCCTTTTCTCCTATCCATCTAAAAAAGAGATTTTTGACTTTGAAAAAATACAAGAAAAATGAAAATATTTACTTTCGAACAGTGCCTGTATAACGTTCATCGGGATTACTAGTTGTTTCTTGTCGTTGATTTGAAGGTGAATCTTCATTAAAGATTGAAACATCACGTGCTTCTTCACCTTTATCAGTTCTTTGAATTCGAAATTCAACTAATTGACCCTAAAGAAATTTTTTATTATTGAAATTTTCTTGTTATTAAAAACTTACTTCGTCAAGTGATCGTAAGCCATCTTTTAGACTTCGAGTATGACAGAAAAGATCTGGACCACCATTACTTCGACGAATAAAACCAAAGCCGCGTTCTTCTGTCCATCGTTTAA